GGAGATTGCCCTGAATCTTTCCTCGTTCCTTTTGAGAGAGCATGCTGGGACTTTGATATCAAGGATGAAGAAAGGATGATAGTGCTAAGATCACAAATAAGTGGTGATTTAGCGGAACTGTATTCTCAGACACCTCTGGAGCAGGCTAGAGATTTTGAAGCATATAGAAAGATGGTATATTCAAGATTTGGCATAAATGTAGAACACTTTAGAAGGAAATTTCCTGCCCTTACCAAAAAGCCTGAAGAATCTTATTCTCTGTTAGGCGCTAAATTAGTCCAATGTTTGGACAAATTGATGGAATGGGAAAATGTCACTTCTGTAGAGCAGATGAAAAATCTGATTGGTTTAGAACAATTTTATTCTATTTTGCCTGGGGAATTGTGTTATTTAGTCAGAGACAAAAATCCTAAAATTCTATTAGAAGCTGGTGAACAGGCAGATTACATTAGTGAGTTCAGAAACCCCAGGTTCTCTGAGGTAAAATTTAACAGGCAAAACTGGGACAACAATAAGAGACCCTTCAATAAAAATTTCCTCAGAAACACATCAGGGAAAGAAGGCCAGAATAGCACCTCGCTTGCGTTGTCAGGGCCTAGTCCTCTTAAGAAAAGTAACCCTGAGGAAAAGTTTAATAGGCCTCAGAGTGAGCAAAAGACTTATAAACAGTGTTGTAACTGTGAGGAGTTCAGGCATTATCAGTCAAATTGTATGAAAAATAAGAATAAAAATGGAAAATATGATATTCAGACCAAAAAGGTTTACTGCTTGAAAACTGTGGAAGCCACTGAGGGAAGATGTAACAATTGTTCTGTCTCCATGGCAACTAGCATAACAGAAAATTCTGATCTGCCATTAGCCAAGGTCATTCAATGTTTTCTTGTAAGGACAGAAGATATTTTATTACAGAACCCTGGTGAGAGGATTCTTATTAATGAGAAGTCTTATGTGGGAGTGGTTGATACCTGCTCCAACATAACCCTGTGTCATCCTGATGTGGTTCCTAGACAACAAATACTTCCAAACCAAACTGTTACAATCAAGGGAATAAGTTCTACTCCAGTGACTTTACTTATGGCTAAAGTAAAGATAAACTATAGAGTTTGGGTCAGAATTTGGGATGTGGCAAATTGTGATCAAATTCCAGCACCTTGTTTAATTGGGATAGATCTCATTAAGCACGTGCAGAGTGCTTTTGGAGTAACATGTTCCCTGGGAGAGCAGTTAACAATCCCTGAGGGAAAAATGTAATCCCTAACCTCTGAATCAAACCAGGGATGCCCCATTTTAGAGAAGAACCCTTAGTAGCAGAAATGGCTGATGAGGTTATATTGAAAACCCCTAATGATACTTCCTGTACTGGTGAACAGAAGGAAGATAGTATTTTAATTGATGATATTAGAAAATCTAAAGAGAATCCTCTTCCACTTACCCCTGAACACCTAGAGAGGTCTATAACTGATAAAGACCTGATGTATAGAGAGGGTTTAAACTTGATAGAGCATGTTAAGAGTGCTTTTGTACTTACACGCTCACAAGGGGGGCAGAAATCACCCACTGCAGTAGAAATGGATACTGTAGCAGAGGGAAGCCTGGAAGGAGAAAGTTTCTTGGATAGTCAGCTTAATACAGTGGTGCCTCACAAGATGAATGCCTCGCGGGATGAAAAACCCGCAAGACGAATGGTTTTGGCTATGCGGACTATGGAGAGGTTCCTCACGAAGAGGCTGAGATAGGAAGAGGAACCTGCTGCTTCTACCAGCAGTGCCCAGTTGCCTTCTTCTTCCTCCTCGTCCTAGAAGACTGCTGCTGTGATGTGAGAACAGTTCTGACTGCCTCCAGTTTCACTTGTTCACTTTAAAATGTGAAATGTAAAAAGTTTCTGTACTGTTGGTTTCTGTATGTTTATCTGTATGTTTATACACTTTCTGAAGAGTTTTGCACAATCCAATGACTGTTAGTGACTGTTTCTGTTCCTGCCTCATGTTTACCAATTTTATTAACTACTTCGTAGTTTTATCTTCACATTTTTATATGAAACATAAAGCTTCCTCATGTGCATGTCAAAAAACCCACTATATTGAAGTATGACAAGGCAAAACAGGTCACAATGGAAACTTTGCTCCATAGATTAAGAAATGAATTCCTCAACTATTTACTTTGAATGGATAGCGAATCCAGTCTGGTACTCACTGTGCAAGAGTTACCACCTGTTCTTTGGTGGTTGCCAATGGCAGAATTATTTTGGAAACTTCGGAGATGTAATCCACTAAAATGTGGTCAACAGGAGGAAGCCATATAACTTTTTGAGGAACTTCTTCAACAATTTTAGGCATAACTGGCTCCACTTCTTCTTCCTTTGGTTTTTCTTCTTCTTTTTTCCCTTTCCCTTTCCTTTTGAAAAAAGTAACACAGGTTTTTTTATTAGTTTCTCTCTATAAATCCCTATTTAACTAATAAAGGGCAAGACCTGCCTGCTTCAGAAGACAGAAAGATGTTCTCCTGCCCTTGTTGCTTGGAAAATGCAAGCTACTCTTTGCAATGATATGATACATGGTGTTTATGTTCTATTGGAAGTTGTTGTGCTCTCAAAAATACTTCTGTACAGTACACAGTATTTTCTAGATAGACTTGGCTCCTTACACATACAAATGNNNCGGACTGGAGGAATCCCAAACTGGAATTAAGATTGCCGGAAGAAATATCAACTACGTCAGATATGCAGATGATACCACTCAGATGGCAGAAAGTGAGGCGGAATTAAAGAACCTCATAATGAGGGTGAAAGAGGAGAGTGCCAAAAATGGTATGAAGCTCAACATAAAAAAAACAAAACAAACAAAACAAAAAACAAAAAACATAAAAAACCCCAAAAAACCCAAAAAAACCCCTAAGATCATGGCCACTGGTCCGATCACCTCCTGGCAAATAGAAGGGGAAGATATGGAGGCAGTGACAGATTTCACTTTCTTGGGCTCCATGATCACTGCAGATGGAGACAGCAGCCCCGAAATTAAAAGACGCCTGCTTCCTGGGAGGAAAGCGATGACAAACCTCGACAGCATCTTAGAAAGCAGAGACATCACCTTACTGACAAAGGTCTGCATAGTCAAAGCTATGGTTTTTCCTGTAGTGATGTACAGAAGCGAGAGCTGGACCATAAAGAAAGCTGACCGCCGAAGAACTGATGCTTTTGAATTGTGGTGCTGGAGAGTCCCCAGGACAGCAAGGAGAACAAAGCTATCCATTCTAAAGGAAAACAACCCTGAGTGCTCACTGGAAGGACAGATCCTGAAGGTGAGGCTCCAATAATTTGGCCATCTCATGAGAAGAGAGGACTCCCTGGAAAAGACCCTGATGTTAGGAAAGTGTGAAGGCAGGAGGATAAGGGGACGACAGAGGGCAAGATGAATTTGACCCACCTCCGGGAGGCAGTGGAAGACAGGAGGGCTTGGTGTGCTCTGGTCCATGGGGTCATGAGTAGTCGGACACGACTTAATGACAAAACAATAACAATGAACCATAACTGGTGTTAAGTTCAGCTGGAAACACTACATCCTATTATGGGTGGCTAAATAATAGTGGACTCAGCTTCTAGCTGGCAATCATCTGAACATGTAGGATATCATTAAAACTTTGCTGTAACATACATGCAAAATATGTATTCTTGGTCTGCAAAATAGAAACTCAGATAAACCTGATTGTGCATTCTTGAGTATAATTACAGAGGCAAGTGTGTGTGTGTGTGATGCTATATACAAAGCACACCATCGCACTGCAATGTAGAGATTTTAGTGCTGACTGCTGAATCATCCAAATGCTTCCATTTAAAAACAAAGAAGAGTACATGAAATACTTTTCTGTTCCACTACTTCATTCATTTAAGTTATGTTCATTAAGGAATTATCAAAGTGTGTGGGGGGGGAATGAACTAGTGGAACAGAAAAGTATTTCATGTACTCTTCTTTGTTTTTAAATGGAAGCATTTGGATGTACAATTGATTTTTCAATGATGCATGATGAGTATTTAAAATTAAGTTGACTGTTAAGAGAAGTAAGACTACAGGCCAGCTTATAAATTGATGGAGAGAGATCTACTTTCTTCAAAAAATAATTCCATGCCAGGAAATAAAATCTCCTTTTTTGACCCATTGGAATAGATTCAAGAGTGGATCTGTAATTCGCACCTAGGACTCCTATTTCTTATATGGACTCAGTCTTGCAGCATATTGCAGGCCCATACGGCTGTGGAAATTTCAGATAGCAGTGGCAGTAGTAGCATTTTCTCGTTAACACAAGATGTGACTCCTGAGACCAATGAGAAACTTGGGGTGTGGGGGGCAGGCAATGAATCATTAGACCATGGTAATAATAAACCACCTTCATGCACTTTTGAACGAGTTTCTTAACCCTCATCTACAAGGATGAAAAATTTGATTGAATGAGTTGTGAAACATTTTCTGACTCAATGGGAAATTTATTTAACAGACATGTTTTATATTTCGTAAACCCATTGAGAATTATAATCTCCCCCTGAATGGGGCCATCCTACTGATAATGAAAGTATCACCCTTCTCTTTCTCATCATTGTGGTCCACAAAAAATGGCCTGGACTATGTTCCACTGTTACATTGGCTGTTACATTCTTAATCTTATTTATGAGTTAATTTCGTGTTGGCCCTATGCTGTTGGTTTGTTGTTTAACACCTGATTCAATTGTCTTAATTTTGCCATCTTGAGAGTTAGTGATATCTGTTACAGAGGAGTTTTTTTGGGGAAGGTTCCAGTTTTTGTATACTGTATTTGTTGTTTTAATTCTTTCTGAACATTTTGTTCCTTTTTTGTAGTCAACCAGAGTCGTGATTTGCCACTAGATGGGTGGGGTATACGTAAATCCAATGAATGGATGAATGACTGACTGACTAAATAGAATATCTTGCCTTGTGGAGCAGTTTCTTATCAAGGAGAGAAATGTTACTGCAACAGAATAGTGTGGAAAATATTTGTTTTTATTATAAAACATACAGTATACTGATCTTAATAATATATAAAACACAGTAGAAGTATCAGGGTCTTTTAAAGACCAATAATTTATACACTGAGACACAGGTTACTGTTATTCTTCCAGTCTCATAGTCTGAAACACACACACATACACACACACAGACACATACACACATATAAAATAAGAATGACTGAAATCAGCCAGGGTTGCCCTTGTTGTGAGGCATTTCCATTGCTACAGTAATGATTTGCTAGGCCGTGCTGGCATAAAGTCAGGATTCGTTTTGCTTTGCTTTGAATTCTTATTGAGGAACTGATCTTGGAGAACTGGTGGAAGTACGGGCAGAGCAGTTAGCTGTCATGTTCTTATAGAGATCTGGCCTTGTCAGAGAATGGCAAGGGGTTCAGGAACCACTTTTATGTCCAGAAAAAACAAGATAAAAAAGAAACTTCTCTCAATATCTGCTCCTGGGTTGAATTTAATATTTCTTTGGTTTGCCTGAAAGTGCATGCTGTGTAAAATAATGGGTCTGGACCACCTGTAGGCACAGTACATGACAGGTAGAACAAAACAGGGCAAGGGGGATTTTTAAATGTCTCCAAATCTGAATTTTCTTGCAATAACCATAATAAAAACACCCCAAACCCGATATGCATTTTATATTTCAATTTGCTTTCTCTCCCCTCCCCCACCATCACCAGTTACAGAAGCCATGGGAATTTCAGATCACGCCAGGAGTGAGGCTGATGTATTGCTGCCTTAAACTGATCAGGAGGACTTAGTCCAGACCCACAAGGCTGCTCTGTTACCGAAGAGGGCATTCCTGCATTCAGTTCTCCTCATTTCCCTTGTAGCTTACTCTACTTTGCAATGTGTTCCAGATTTGTGGGACTTCAGTTCTCATCAGCTCGGTTCCGTCTGGCCAGTAAGGAGGCATGATGGCAGGAGACACCCATCAGTCTCTGGAAGACCACAGGTTCCCTAGTTCTGCTATAATGAAAGATCGTTTTGAATTTCCCACAACTGTTAGTGGCACTCAGTGTTGTACTGCAGGGGAAGGGAAACTCAGCTTGTTGGGTTTTGTGAAACAGAGCACACTCCTGTTAAAGTTAAGCATTACTTCAGTCCCTCTGATTGCTGTATTCTTCCACTGAAATCGATCAGAAATGTTGATGGAAGGGAAGGGAGACAGGGAAATAAAAGGCTGGACTTTGCCTGGACTAATTTGTTTGATTGATTGTTCGTAAAACCACCTCTCAAAGTCACATTTCAAAAGTAACATTTGAAACCAACTTGGTCTGAGATTTTGCTGGACCCTGCTTCCCTCCCCTGCAGCACCATACAGTATCTACATAACACAGTTATAGATCCCATTTTGATTATCATGGCTGGCACAGAGAATTCTAAGTACGACACCAAACTTTGAAGTCCCAAGGTTCCACAGGATGAAGCCATGGCATGTAACGTGAGATCAAAGAATTCTAACACTGGTGCACACAGCAGATGTACTCTTGGGTCCTTAGGCAAAACAAATACCAAAATGCTATTCAGACAATGAACTCCTTTGAGAACTTGGCTCTGTTTCTTTACAGAATCAGTTCAGGGGTCTTTTCAACAGTGTTATCTTCTTGGATAGCATTTTGGCATTTCACAAAGGTAAAGCTATGCACTCCTCTACTTCTCACACAACCATCCTGTTCTCTTCTTAGTACAACTGGTTTCCTTGAACAACTGTATTTTCCTAGCTGTGCTCACTTGGCAGGGACTTTGGACATTTGTGTGTATTCGAAGGTATTTGCTTGAACTTCAGAATATGTGTATGTAGGTTGCTTTTGAATCGCTGCCTAGTATATTTTTAGCAGTGCATTTGTAGAAGCCTGCATCCCTTTGTGTAACCTGCTGGATGATTAATGAGCCCTGAGGGTGAAGGAATTTGTTCCCGTACAGCCGGGATTGAGCTCCTGTTGTCAGATGAGATTTGTCTGGGAGCTCCCATGTTATTTCTGCTTTTGGGATCCCAATGGCCATACAGCTCAGCCTCACTGTGTTGCCTGGCCGTATATAAATGACTGGTGCTGGTTCACTTGTGATCCGGGGTGGGTAAGCTATCACAATAACTGGGACGTTCATAAGGGAAGAGCCGTACTCAGTCACTGCCTTGCACAGGTAAGTCCCTCTGTCAAAAACAGAGGTCTCCCGTATAGTGAGAGAGCCATTCTCTGACAGGGAGAGCCGTCCATGGGTTTGGGGACCATCTAACACCATGCCATTGGGCAGGGTCCAAGTAATGCGAGCCCGTTGGTTAGGCTGGGTGACGCAGTGAAGCTGGAGGGTCTCCCCATTGATGATGCTCACCAGGTTGTTATACTGATTGCTGATTTCTGGTTTCTGCCCCACTTTGAGGAAGACCACCCGCTCAGCATAACCATGTGAGTTGCGGGCTATGCAGCGATAAGTCCCAGCATCCACAGGAGAGAGGGCACTGATGTGTAGGATGCTGTCCCTCTTGTGGTAAAATCTCTGCATGTGGCTGCTCTTTTGCAGTTCGGTGCCATTAGGAAGGATCCAGGTTGTGGTGGGCTGAGGGATCCCATGGACCGAGCAGTTCAAATTGATGCTGTGTCCTGCTGCAGCTGTGATCCTTTCAGTGACAGGGTCCCTGAAAGTGGGCTTTTCCACCTGATCTGTAACCTGAAGCTGCACAATCAACCTGGCCTCTCCTCCTTCATTCCTACCAATGCACACCAACTGCACTGAGTCTGAATGCCTCACGCTGCGGATATCCAGGGTCCCATTACGGTGCACAGTAATTCTGTTCCCATAATAGGGGGCAGGCAGGATGACACCTTCTGGAAAAGCCCACATGACACGTGGAGAAGGGATGCCTTCTGCTTTACAGTCAATTAGCTTCCGACTGTCTCTTAGAGCCGTTTCTCTTGCTGAGGCGATGGTGTTGGGATGCCCATTGATTTTGGGAGGCTGAACATTGACATGGATTGAGACAATCTTGCGGTCTTCCCCAGCACTGTTCCGGGCTACACATGTATAGTTGCCACTATCTGATCTTTGGGCCTTCTGTATGAGAAGGGTTCCATCTCTGTAGATGCGATACTTCTGTGACAGAAGCGGGATAGGCTTGTTGCTTGGAGAGAACCAAGTCACCTCTGGTGTGGGCTCCCCTTTGGCTTCACACCCTGCAGACACCACATCTCCATAGGGGATGTTGATCACTGTATAGGTTTTGTTCCTAATTGTGGCAGGTTCGGCCACTACCTTCACCCGCACTTTCATTTCGTCTTTACCAATCTGGTTCTCGGCATAGCAAGTGTAGTCCCCCTCTTCTTTCAGCCCCACGTCATTGAAATACAGTGTCCCATTGTTAAATACTACATATCTTTTTGCTCGGTTTCCACTGTCATCGGACTGCATGAAGGTATTGATCATGCTTCCATCTGGAAGACCCCAGGAGATCCCAGGGTTTGGTAGACCTGTGGCTACACAGTCAACCTTGAGGTCCCCTCCGTATAGCACTTTGCGATTGTTCTCACTCTTATGTTCGATTTTGGCAGGTTTCATCATCACATTTACTTTGACAACCACATAGTCGTCTCCAATCGTATTGCGGGCCACACACAAATAGTCGCCTGCGTCCTTGTCGGTGACGGAATGGACAACCAAAGTCCCATTGCCAAATACCTTGATTCTGCTGTCCACGCTAATTCAGAAGAAAAGAGAAAAACAGAACATATGTTTGTAAGTCATACTTGGAGCCAGAAAACACACAAAAATAATTATCTTTAGTTGCAAGTAAACAGTTCCATACCGAAACTAACTTTTTTTTTTCTCATGGAAGGATGTTTTTATTTATTTTGTGCTTCTCTTCCGATGATCTAGATTTTATTTACAGAACTGTATACTGCAGTTAAACACAGTAATACAAAAAATCAGATAAATCCTCCTGTATATACATACCACAGATAAATTCCATGTAAGAGTATATACAGGGACAGATAGGTTTATAAAATGAACAGGATATTGACAATACATTCCATATGATAAGATGCACACACATTTATCAAACAGGAAGATCCACACAAAATAAAACTGCTTGGGTATAAGCAATTCAGAAATTTAATAAACTGGTGTCTTAATGCCCATAATTAGGTTTCAGTCCTATACTCACTTAACTGGGAACAATTTTCATTGAACCTGATAAAACCTATCACAGAATAAGTATGGACAGAATGGTATCAGCCACCAACCAGAGGATCATGACATCTCTGAGAGCAGAGCAGAATGGAAATGCCACTGCTACTAATATTACACTAAATGTTTACATGAAGCAATTTAAGAATTTTATAAACCAAAGTGCTTAACGTAAAAGCTTATAATCCTCTTTACAACAGTATGATCAATCTCTTTTAAATGTTATAAGCATCCAATGACATTATGTGGGGTTGTTCTGCTCGGGCAAATTAGGTATTTGCCTTGGTTGTTGATCCTGTAAAATAATCTCTGCTCAACTCATCCTGATTCTGAAGCAGGATTTAGGGAAGTCATGCTTTGGGCCAATGGTTATGCTTGCCTGGGAATTTTTGGAGCTGCAGTCTAAAAAGCAACTTTTTCTATCTCTGCTCCTTCACTACTTAGGGAGGTCATATTTCCATAAATATAAAAATAACTATAAAAGTTATACTTACAGCACAAAAGGAATGAAAGTATTCCTTATTCCATTAACTATAAAAGTTATACTTACAGCACAAAACGAATGAAAGTATTCCTTATTCCATTAGAGCCATAACCTAGGCTGCAACTACATGGTCAAATACCATAGGATTTGCTGCAGGTATCAAATGAATGCATTTGATTTATTTTTACTGATCACGTGATGGAAAAGTCAGTTCAAATCAATCCGACCCTTTTTGCTCTCAGAGTGGATTTTTTTTTCTCTGCCATTGGGAACTTCTACATTTTCTTAAAGCTAGAACGATTCTAAATGACTTTTCCCCATGTGGACAGTTGTTTCATTTTGCAATATGATGTCTGTGTGTGCGTGCCTGTGCCTTTGTTTGTGTCTGTATATGGTGTTGTGATTCCATAGGCAGTTGGGGGCATGATTTTTAGGGACTGCATGATTTGTTCCTTGAGTGTCCCAGAATTTTTATTTTTTTGAATAAGCAAGTTTAGCATTGAGTCATTGCAGTGATATACTAGTTTAGTGCTATATCACATTGCCATAGGGGGAAAAATCAGTCCAGAGACCCACAACCCCCAAACCATAGGTTTTCCTCTACACCAAAGACCTTTTCATTTTTATTTTTAAAAAATCAAATGCTTTCATTTTAACTGATGCAGAAATGGCGCAGACTCTCTTACACAGAAAGCAGTGCTTTGGCAAAGCACCTTCCCCTTTTGCCTCATGAGGGAGGATGACGAGTGTGAATTCATGCACACAAACACACACAGACACACCAGCACTCACCTCTCTCATCAGATTCTCCCTCCCAAGACAGTTATTTTTAATAACTTTCCTACGCTGATACCAGCACTCACCTCTCTCATCAGATTCTCTCTCCCAAGACAGTTCTTTTTTTAAATAGCTTTTCTACGCAGATCTCTCATTCATTCATTCATTCATTCATTCATTCATTCATTCATTCATCTGGGCAAGACAAAATGAGAGAGTAACTGAAGATGGAAAACTTTCTTAAGGTAGTTCCTTTGAACTGCACCACCTATAGGTGCTTGAAATGAAACTGCAATTAGAAGACTTTTCCCTCTCTGCCTGAGGCCACCTATTTTGAAGAGAACTCAATGCACCAATGCAACTTCATAGAGAGAGAATGCATTTTCCCTCTCTGCCTGAGGCCACCTATTTCGAAGAGAACTCAATGCAACTTCATAGAGAGAGAATGCAAGTTGATTTGCATTTCCCTCACTGTGTAGTTGCACCCCTACTCTAAATAGTTATAAATACCCAATGCCATTATGTAAAGTTTCCTTGTTAGTTATATACACACAATATCATTAGGCAGAGTGGTTTTAGTCATTTGGCAAATGAGATATTTCTACTGAATACTGATCCTGTGTCAGAATGTGTGTTCAGGCTAACCCTAGTTGTGAAACAGAGCTTGGACCACTGCTTTCAGCATCTCCCAGTCAGCATGGCCAATGATTATGCTGCCTAGGGAATTCTGGGAGCTGCAGTTTAAAAAAAAGAGTTAAATTTCCAAGCTTTCTAAAGAATGTGTGTCATTGACCTTTGACATACACTGATGGCTTTACTGAGTCCCGTTACCATTGCTGGAATTCTGGGAGCTGCAGTTTAAAAAAAAAAGAGTTAAATTTCTAAGCTTTCTAAAGAATGTGTGTCGTTGACCTTTGATATACACTGATGGCTTTACTGAGTCCCGGTACTACTGCGCTGTTTTCTTGTGTTCCACCAGAAAATGCCCTTTTCCATTAACTGCTGGATAGCTCAGTGGTTTAGATATCTGGCTGTGGTACCAGAGGTCAGGGGTTTGATGAAAAAAAAAAGAGTTAAATTTCTAAGCTTTCTAAAGAATGTGTGTCGTTGACCTTTGATATACACTGATGGCTTTACTGAGTCCCGGTACTACTGCGCTGTTTTCTTGTGTTCCACCAGAAAATGCCCTTTTCCATTAACTGCTGGATAGCTCAGTGGTTTAGATATCTGGCTGTGGTACCAGAGGTCAGGGGTTTGATGACCCACTGTGGGCTGTGGTACCAGAGGTCAGGGGTTTGATTCCCCACTGCTCCCTTGACAGGGACTGGACTTGATGCTCGATGGGGTCCTTTCCACATCTGCAGTTCTAAGATTGTTATTTCATTTACAAAAGTCAACTGGATTAGAATCTGGGTTTTATTTACATTGTCAATGGGACAATGTCGTCTTCTGTACCTGTAGGCAGCATGTCCCACTGCTTTGCTTTGTTTCTCACCCACATTTTATTTACATTGTCAATGGGACAATGTCCTCTTCTGTACTGGTAGGCAGCAGGTTGGCTTAAAGGATACAGGATAGGCCCTATGTCCCACTGCTCAGCAGAACAATTGCTCTTTGTATAGAGGGTTCTCAAGGCAGAAAATTTCCTGCCAAACCCACTAAAGTTGTTCCCCTCTCATCTATGGAAGACAAGGACATTATATGACACTACAAATTGAAAAGCTACTAATAATGTCATCATCTAGAACAGCGGTCTCCAAACTACGGCCCGTGGGCCACATCCGGCCTGCCTTGCCATTTTATCCATCCTGTTCCCTTCAGTCTGTGCTTGTGCGTGGGGGTGGTGGGCGGGCAGGAGTGTGCGTGGGTGTTTGTGTGTGCATGTGGGGTGTGGGCGGGGTGTGTGTGCAGGTGGGTGGGTGTCCGTGCAGGCAGGTATGCAGGCAGGAGGTACGGACGTGTGCTGCCACTATATCATGCACTGACTTTAGGATATGTTACTTGACCAAAGAAGAGAATTAGATATGGGGATGCTATTTCCAGCCCTACACCTTCTGCAATATCTAGTTCCATGCTAATTTTATGGAAAACCCACATGAAATCCTTGTGAATTTGCCAGAAGGCCCCAGAGCAAATGTTGCTCCAGCCATTCTACTATTGTTCTCTGTGATCTCAGACACAATTTGTGCGTTTAATAAAGGTACATTAGATACGCATGCCCCATTGATCCAGTGAGTCTACTTCAGATGGGACAAAGGGTTGGATATGATCCAGATCTTTAAGTCCATATTTTTACTGCTAAATTTTGACCTTCTATTAGTAAATGCACAATGAGCAATAAATATTTTTTTACATAACACAAAGGCAATACGTCAACTTGTGTTTTTAAAAATGACTGCCAATTCCAAAGCAACATAAAGAAACTTTAGTATAAACAGAAATCAAGGCCAACCATCTTGACACATTTCAACTTCTTGGAAGACATCACATTATTATATTTATACTTATAATTAAAATAGTCACTTTAACATAAATACAGGCTTTTAGTTAAATGTATAAATGTGCAGGGACAATATATCTCATACTGCTGCTCTGGTAAATATGGCCACCATCCAGCTAAACTAAAACATAAATTAGTCCCCTTGTTTTTATATTCAGCATAGTTATCTCCCCTGAAATTAACAGGGTCAATGATGCTTACCTCTGCACTCCCTTCATATAGTGTAACAAATCCCCATTTCAGTGCTTAGGAAAAAAAATCACTTCTTTAGATGACACAGCTCTAAACCTATGCCAGGCAGCATAGCAACAGCCTATGGTAATACTAACTGGGGAGTTCTGCTAGTTTTAGTCAAAAAAGGAACTCTATTGACCTCTGATTCAATTATACTGTTAATGTAAGAAATGCAGGTGGATTTTAACTCCCCTCTCTTCTTCATTAAAACTACTTCAGTTAATTGCTGCTGAATTACCAATCCTTGGTCATCAGAGAATTTACTCTGTGATATACACTGGCCTAATCCAATGGCATTTTAATCATCCTTACTTTATGGAACCCTTTCCACCCTGCTATGTTTCCACCCTGGCTTCTGTGATAGTCCACTGCAAGACATTCAATTCAGAAGCTAAGAGTGCATAGTCAGTGTGACATTTTAAGCCCTGATGACATCCACACTCTAGCAGAAGAGGAAAGGAAGATGGGTGGTGGCTGCTGCTGCTCCTTTATCTGGAACACCTTCTGAATTTAGAGTTTGTGAGGAAATGTACAGGATACCAAAGTCTTAAGCCCAAGACAGTGCCATAATGAAATGAAATAAAACACTGTGAAACAAGTAACATCACTGTTTTCTTGGGTTCCCATTCTGAAACTGCAGCTGAAATCCAGTAGTGAGTGGCCTAATTGATGTGGTGAGTCAACTCCTCTGTAAGTTCCACTGATTCAATGAGCCTACTGTAGTTGTGACTCACTACTGGATCTCAACCTTTCTGTATTACACTCAGGAGAATGCACATATGCAAATATAAACAGTTCTTTTCTGCTGTGATATTAATTCATTTTTACACATGGTACTTTTCTTTTCTCTGATGGCCAATGTCCTTGAGAACAATGGGCATTACAGTTCTTTTCTGCTGTGATATTAATTCACTTTTACACATGGTAATTTTCTTTTCTCTGATGGCCATTTCCTCGAGAAATGTCCTTGAGAACAATGGGCATCCCATCTGGCTCAACTTCTTGGCCTAATTACCTCTTACCTTATTCCCGCCCCCCATTTTATACCACCTGTCTGACAAAAAAGTTCTAGTGAACCTGAATGTTCACCTGGCCTTTAATATTTTGTGATTCAATAACTTTGTTTCTCAACCCAGAACTTTTGTTTCTATGGATGGATCACTTGCCACAGGAAATAGCATATGTGGCATTCCAAAAAGAACAGCCATGTGCTTGTTCTCCCTACCATCCTCTTACCTGTTCAGAGAATCCACCATCCTTTTTGAAGGAAGCCTCCAGAGTATCCGTGGCCAGGGGTCACCGGATGCACTGCAGTCCAGCCGCAGGGCACTGCCATAGGTCACATCTGTTCTCTGAGGAGAGCTCCCAGTGATCTTGGCATTTGTGGACTGCTTTTGGACCTGCAGCCACACCGTTCTTCTGGCGGCACCAACCATGTTGGCTGCAATGCATTCGTAGCTCCCGCTGTCTCTGGGTGAGACGTTGCGTATGTAAAGAGTTCCGTTTGGAAATACGAACAGATTGCCGTGAACAAACTGGGAAGTCCTGATCTGGGTTCCGTCAAAAAGCACCCAGCGGATGCCAGGCAAAGGGGCTGCTTTGGCACTGCAGTGAATGTTAATGTTCTGTCCCACGGTAAGGGAAATGTTTTCCCATTTCTCCTGCTGGATAATAGGTGGCAAGGCAGCAACATGAAGTCTCACAGCAAGACTATCTGCTCCTGCGGCATTGCTGGCTATGCACTTGTAAACGCCCCTGTCTGAGAAGTTAGTGTCCTTCAGGGACAACGTTCGGTTTTCATACAGCATGATTCTTCCCTGTGTACTGCTCACCGTCTGTAATATTTTCCTGTCAGGAAAAATCCAAGATATGTGTGGGCTTGGAATGCCTCTGGCTTGGCAATCCATAGTCACTTTTTCTCCAAAATAAACAGTCACGTCTCTGAAGCGCGAACCCAGCATTTTGGGCTGCTGGGCTAAGACAGTCAACAAGACTATCATTTTATCAACGCCATGCAGGTTCTGAGCAGTGCACAAATACTGTCCACGGTCCTGAAGCTGAACATTGCGAATTATGAACGTGCCATTTTTCAAGACTTCAAAACGTTGTATCCGGGTACTGGCTGTCATCAGAGCTCCTGCAGGGATTAGCAAAAAGAAAAGGAAAGAGTTGGCAGTGAATTTTCTTTCTCTCTAAATATCCAAAACAACCCAGAATCCTTACTTCTGTAATAGTTCCTCAACAGAGATTGAAAAGACATAAAGACACAATCCAGGTAGTCATCCCATAAAATCTAGGGGCTCCAGATGTACAGTGTATCACAGAAGTAACTACACCCCTCACATTTCGTAAATATTTTAGTACTGTATATCTTTTCATGTGACAACACTGAAGAAATGACACTTGGCTACAATGTAAAGCAGTGAGTGTACAGCTTGTATAACAGTGTAAATGTGCTGTCCCCTCAAAAAAAACACAACACACTGCCATTAATGTCTAAACCAATGGCAACAAAAGTGAGTACACCCCTAAGTGACAGTGTCCAACTTGGGCACAGAGTGTCAATATTTTGTGTGGCCACCATTATTTTTCAGCATTGCCTTAACCTTCTTGGGGTTCATCAGGGCATATCCATATATTTATCCAAAGAAGCTTCTGCCCCAGAGTTAAGCTACCTGGTGGAGTCTGGATATTTCAGGCTACAGCTTTGTTAACTCCTATCCTGTGGCCATGCTACCTGTGGTGTCTGCAAGTGACAGTTTAAATATCTGGAGGACAACTTGATTGAGTCCAAAGGTGGGGAGCTTCAAGGTCTCAAGCTGTGGGTGCAGGTACACTAGCATCAGAGAGCAAGCTTCTGTGGGCCATTTTGGAACAGTTGGATTTGATTAGAGTGATCTAATCAAGTCTGGTGGTTCATGTGGAAATCACTCCTGCCAATATCGTGAAGTACTGTATTTTTCCGTTTATAAGACGACCCAATGTATAAGATGACCCTCCCCTTTTATAACCCCAAATTAGAAAAAGCAGGGATCAAAGGGCTCCCTTTTTGCTAAGCCCGGTACCTTGGCAAAAGGCAAGGCAAGCAGCTGTCAAAGTGATTGCTGCTTTTCCTTGCCTTTTGAGAAGGCACGGAGCTTAGCAAAAAGGAAGAGAGCAACAACTTTTGAGAAGGCATGGACCCTCATTTTTTTCTCAGATTATTTAAGGAAAAAGTGTCATTTTATACATGGGAAAATACGGTAGGTTACTAAGTAAGCCACTTCAGGATATTGGCAAATTAGTCACTGGCTCTGCTCGACAGAGGGGCAGCAGAAGTGATTTTTTTTACAGCGAATGATGATTGCTAATACACTACACCAATCACCTAAAAATTAAATCTTTTGTTTGCCTTGCCTTCAAGGGCTGGTTGAGAAACTGCCTGCACATGAAGTCACCACCATGGATCCAACTGCAGGCAGGTTCTTGACCAGCCCTTTCGGGGAAGGCAAAGACAAGATTTTTTAAAAATTATAATTGTTTAGCATATCAGTAATAGTTTATATATAATAAAAAAAACCAAACCAAACATTTCTTCTGCTCCTCTGCTGAGGAACAGAGGAAATGATTAATTCACCAACATTCTAATGTGGTCTGCTTATTAAGTCACTTCATGAGATCGATAAATTCAAACTGGAAGGTTTGCTTTGGATCAGTTCCAATGATCACACACACTGGAACTGATCCAAACCGTAGTGATCCTATCTGCACCAAAAAACAAAACAAAACAGAAAGGTACATATAGGAGCACTCCGGAGACAGACTGGTCTGGTCCAACAAAGATGTCATCTGATTGCCATCTTTAGGAGCTGACCAGCCCATTACTGCAGCTGGCCAAACAGTGGTCTTAATAGTCTGGATAGTCAGCTTCTGAATCTACAAGCTTCCCAAATGCTACGAACTTTTGTTGGTTTCCCAGCTTTTGCATAGTCTCTGCCCCCCCCCCCGAAAGTAAAAGGCTGAAGTGCCTAAGGCTTTGTTACTAGCAAGAAGAGCATTAAGCTAAAAAAAATTTCTGTTGGGGGGGGGCAATTTTGTGTTTTTAGAGTACAATGTCTAGAATTTTGCCTGGGCAATTCTGGGAGTTATAGTTCAAAAGCAACACATTTGCTAACTTCTATGCTGATATATTTTCTCACTTCACTGTCGCCATGCATCCCTGGGGTGCAATTCCCCAAGAATTTCTCTGAAATTTGGCCCTCATGCTGAAAGAGTTTCCCCATCTTTCACATAACCCTTTCAATAAGGCTCAGATGAGTATCAAGATACATGCACTGTAAGCATGTAGGCACCTGGGTTCTGCATTAACACTGCACAGAGAAGACATGAAGCAATTAGTGCAACAATTCTGCCAGAATAGGGACTGTTAGACCTCAGAATTAGGTATTTAAAAATCATCTCTCAAGCACAACAAAAATAATAGGAAAATAGGCATTGCACCTCTTAAATAAGTTACTAAGGTACTGTATAGGGAAAAAGATTGTTCATTATGAGCAAAGCACACTGGCAAGTATCCTATTCAGAACTCCATATATGCAAGGGAAATCACAGAAGCAGCAGCAGGTATGTGGTGATATATGGCTGCGTGCATCTCAAACAACCAGACCGTGCCATTAAGATGCAACTGCTTCTATGATTTTCCTTGTGCACATGGTAATCTGAAAAGATACTGGCCATTGTCCTTAGAGTGGGGAAGGAGTGAAAACTATAGTGTTTGTACGCCCACGTGTGACTCCAACAGATATCTTACCTGTGGAGATTTTTGTCCATGAAAGGAAAGGCTTAGGTTCTCCTGTGGCATCGCATGGGATAACAACATCTGATTCAGCGAGGGTGGATAAACTGTTAGTCTTTTTGGTTATAATCTTAGGCCTTTCCCCTTGGCTTCTGAAAGGTGTAGAAGGCTGGATAAGGCTGGAGTTCAGAGCCTTGACTCCTCCCAATTTAGGCATCAATAGTACATTTGGATGATTATAATTACTATTATGATTATAGTTGCTTCTGGAGGTTTGCGTGGTTGACACCTCCTGTGGTTTAATACTTGGAGCGAGGAACACAGATGTTGTAGCCACAGTTGGTGGTTCAGTAACTGAGGACACAGGAGGCCTTGGCACTGTGGTGACTTTTAGAGGAGTAGCAAGAGAGAGAAAGTTCTTCTCAGGAGTGCGCACTGGGCCACGCAGATGAGGCACCACAGGCTTAGAATTTATTCCCAAGTTTTGGAATACTCTAGTTCTGTTAATGAGGAATGGGATTCTGGAATTGGGAAAATATGGTACAGCCTGATTTGTTGTTCTTCCAGGCTTGTCTCTGACCTCAGGAAGATAGTTATTGACAAAAACTCTGGAGTGAACATTGTATCGGGTTTCACCCTGGTTGCCAAATCTGCTTGGAGTGTGCAATTTGTATAATGGAGCGGATGTTGTGGTAGGGAAGAAGGTCTCTATCTGAGAAGAGTTTTTCCTCTCCTGTGTGGTATGTGCCGCATATGCTGTTATCTCTGGCTTATTGGTATAGTGAAGGGGGATCTGATGAGTCACAAAATGTTGAAAGAGGCCTGGCGCAATCAGATACGGAGGTTTTGCTGTCCCCCTCATAGGAATACGTTTTGGAGGCACAAAAGCAGATGGCTGATTAAAAGTGGGTACCCTTTCAACGGGCTGGTTAGGAATATTGGGATTTAGTGGGAGGCTATTGTATGATCTGCCACCATATGGCTCTTTCAAATGTCCTTGCTTTTGCTGTGTGAGGATCCTGATGTTGCTTGAATGAAAAGTGGAAGGTTCATTCTGTCTTGAGCTGAGTTTGACTTGCACATGATCAACACTGGATGATTTGTTTTTTGGATGTGCCATTTGGGCAGATGTGTCATTTTTCTTTCCAAAAAAATGCTCAGATGAATTAACCGTCCTGGATATTAATGGAGGAAATGCAGTGGCCAAAGGTGCAGGCACAACAGGCAAAACTGGGGGGTAGCTTTTTTCAGTTCTGTATATAATACTCTGATCATGGCGATCTTGTAACTGAGTGATCATTTCCTTTGGATGCCTTGAAGATGGTAGGGTGGGAGTTCTACTTAGCCAAGGATGGATCACTTGTTTCATTTCTGTAGGTGTGAAAAGGTGAGGATCTCCTCTACCAGAGGAAAGTGGCAAAGTCACTGTTTCTTTTTGATGGGAAGATGTTGCAATTGTAGTTGTTATTAGAGATTCTGAAAAATTCTGTGGTTCATCTACAGTTGAAGGAATCTCAAAATATTCCTCTAGGCCGTTGACAGTAGTCACATATTTTACTGTAGAAGGTCTTGACAGAGCTACTCTATTTTCTGATGAGCCAATAGGAACAGATTTTTCTGCAAACTTTGGGAGCATTACATAACTCAAGTCAGAAGATGACACTGGGTTAGCAGAACTTTCCACAGGCACTGAAGTGCTTGTTTTATGTGCCTCTGTGACTTCCTTATTTGCTGTGATAGCATTATGTTCATAGTCTTTGATTAATTCATTGCCTGTAGATGTTGTGTGTAAATCATCTGAGTTGTGATTTAAATGCTGCTTGTCAGGAGCTGTTGTCCAGGAATCTTGTGTTGATATCACAGTGTGACTCTTCTGATCTTTGAAAGTATTATAAGGAGTTATAGGAGTTTTAGGCAGCAAAGTAGACAACTGAAAAACTGAAGCAGTTTTTGTTTCCTGTACTTTCGTGGACCACTGCGCAGCAGTAACACTTGTCGTTAATGAGAAAGTGGCTTCCCGGGATTTATACTCTGTTGAATGCTGTGTTTCAGCATCAGGTTTTTGATGGCCCCTAAAAGTGGAACCTTGCAGACTTTGGGTTGCAGCTTCTGATTTAGATCTTGTTGGAATAAAAGGAGTTTCCTTTATGAAAATGGCTGCAGGGGGTGTGGGCTTTGGTCTTCTGATCCTGAATCTCCTTCTGCCATGTGTTCGCCTCCAGGGATGGGGAATAATCTGTGGCTCAGAGGAAACTGGTTTTCTTTCAGATGCTCTAATCATGGGCACAGTGGTTAACTTGTTACTGGTGGCAACAGTCATTAACCAGTCTTTCTGCTTAAGTGGGGTAATGGTATTCTCCACAGTAACAGTGGATTCTAATTTTTGAGCATGTGGGTTTTCAAATATTGTATCTTCAGAACCCCTGAATAGCTCTGAGAAAGTTCTTATTTCCTGGTGCTTTGTGCTGGCCCTCTCTGTGAGAACATAATCTGTCATTTGAGAGGCCAAACCAAAAAAGGGAGTAGTGGCTTTTAAATGCAGATTGTCATTAACAGGAAAATATGCAGAATTTATTGCAGTGTTACCTAGGTTGTGTGTATTCTCCTGGTGTAAATCTGGTTCTGTGGCTTTGGACTCATGAGCTTTTGCAAGATCTGAAGCTTCCGATGATAGTTCAAAAGGGAACAATGAACTTTGTGTGGGTCTGTCTCCATTACTGGCTGCTGCCATATTGCTCTGAATGTCAGTAATGCTTGTTACTTCTTCATTTGAAGATTTTTGAGTAAAACCATCCATGCTTTTCTGTTCTGTTGGTTTCAGCTGGTCTGTTCTCAGATGACTGTCTTCCCCATCTGGGACCTGTTCAGTTGGAGAGATGGAAGTATCTGTTGCAAGAGATACTTCCTTCCTGTATTGATTTTCTCTAGCGCTTAAGGGTTCATGCCCTTCTGAAGGCTCAGGCCCAATATTCAGTGCTGTGGAAGGTGTTTGATCAGGATTATAATACTGTGTGTGGCTCCTGGAAGGAATGGCTATTGTGAACAGCTCTGCTTCCCCCAAATGTGATATGTCTGCAGAAGACTCCTCTCTGTTGATTTCCATAGCAATATTTGGCGGGGGACTAGCGACAGGAGGAGGCACAATGGTAGTCAGATGTACCAATGGAATCTCTGTCAAAGTCCTTACAGAAGAGACTGGTGCTGCTGTTGTTCTAGGAAGCTTTTTCCCACGAACTTTTGCCAAAATGTTAGCCCAGTGCTGTGGATTAATTTGCTTGTTGGCCATATTTATTCTCCTTCGAGATTCAAATACCCTGCGGCCCTCCGCAACATTGGTTTCTTCAGTCCTATCCATGCCTTTCCACAATTTCATTTTGCGCTTTCCTTTTTTATTCTTTTTCATCTGGACATGAGAAACATGTTCATTCTTCTGTTTAAGGGACACTTCGTGGTTCTTTAAATGGACTTTTTTGCTTGGAGTATCATCAGTGTCTTCAACTCCCGATCCCTCATCATCTTCTATGGTCTGTCCCTGTACTTTTACAGAGGTCCAAGAACCAGGGTGTTTTTTAAATTTTACCCTTTTTGAGGATCTATCAGATACCATCTTATTGACTGTTACTTTAACAGCAAACTGGTCTGCTCCTTGTTGGTTGATGGCCACACATCTGTAGTACCCACTGTCCCGGATATGGCCATGTGGAATTAACAGTGTACCATTGTCTAACAGATAACCATGGGAAGAGTTTGATAAATCATGAAGAACATGGCTACTTGGGAGGATCCAGCTAAGGTGTGCTTCTGGGACTGCCACTGCACTACAGGGCAAAAATATGGACTGCCCCACATTTTTTTCAACTTTTGTTATCTCAGAGTCAGCTGGCTGAATGACTGGAGCTTGCACCAGAACTCTGTAGGACATGGTGTCTACATCACCTCTCACTTGAGCAATACAATGGTACACACCTGTGTCACCATAGACCACTGATCTGATGACTAACTGACCACTGCTGAGGACAGAAAACCTGCTGCTTTCCATTTTGTATGGAGCTTTCAGTTTAGTTCCATCCGGAAGCACCCAATTGATGGAAGGGCTTTCTGATGCTTTTATGTTGCAACTCAATTGAGTGTCGGAACCCTCTACTACACTCTGAGCTGCCCTTGTATACTGGTCTTGTTCTATCATGACCCAGCTGATTCGCTGCTGTCTGTTTTCTTGGGTCCGAAGTGTTTGAGAAACTTGAGTAGAGAAAGAGAGCACAACTTTCTTGCTGGTGCTCTGGCGTCTGTTCAGTTGGATGTGTATTAAAGGTTGCATCACCCAGGAAGGCTCCGCTAGGATTCTCCCTTTGACGCCGGTGTAGTAAAGGGCATCATAATCAGAACCTTGCCTGTAATGGTAACTTAACTTGGGTTCCTGGCTGAGCACATGTTCCCGTACTAATTTGACAGGCACTTCACTGTAATAGGCAATAAGTTTCCACAATTTTTCATAGTTGTCTCGGCTCATTAGGCATTCCAGATCCAGGGAAAGGGTCATGTTGACCTCAATTTCCTGAGGAGAGATATGGTTCCACTGAATTTTGGAAGAGTCTGTTGGTTTTTTGATTTCACAGTTCAGATTCACAACATTTCCATGCTCATCTGTCATGTTCAATGTAATGTTCCATGGAGCTAGCTGAAATTCTTCCATGGGAGGTTCAGAACTATCATCTTCCTCCTCTTCTTCCTCCCTGAGGGTGATATTGTGTTTTAGTGGGGATTGTATAACAGGCTTTGTGCAGGAAATATCTTTCACATTTTGAATATCTTGTTTCTGAAATTGCTTAGGGAAGGTACACTTTGGGCAAAGTTGACCTTCTTCGTAGGCTTTGTCTTTTTTACACTTGAGGACACCTGGAAGACAAACAATTTATTTGTTTATTTCTGGCACTTTCATGCCACCTTATTAGTGCACAGCACTATTCAATATGCAACCACTATCACAAGCCAGTAGCAGAGAAGCTGATACTTTAAAGGGCATATGATTAGGAACCTGATAAGTGCTGGATCAAAGCCTGATCCAAGTATGTTCCTAGAGTGTCCAATCAGATGACATCAGGAATCCTTTCAGGTAGGTGTTTTTCAAACCTGCAGCAAACTGCTCATGCTCCCATTCTGGAATAAATTTTAGAATTTCTCTGAGCTAAACTGAAATTCAGGAGGAATGAAATACAGAGGAACATATAGCAGTGGAATGGTAGAAAGCCATTTGTTCCTACAATCTCCCTTGTTGGAGATGTTTGCTTGGATTCAGACAAAGAAGCCGTGCCTTAGGAAATCTGTGGGACTTAACATTATTTCTCACCAACTTGTGCCACTGATTTTAATTCATTCATTTTTGAATCCAACTCTCTATTACCTTGTTTCAAGGCTCAACCCAAAACGTTCTGGTGCCTGAGATGAAGAACAAGATGATGTCCCAAGGTCTATTCCACATATAGAAGCCAACTGAACTCTCAGCTGAAATTTACTTTATTGCTGAAAATGGAACAGCATCTTCTACCATATCTGATGGCAGCAGTCTAGTTTAAGAGATTGGAACAGATGTATGGCACACAAATTTCTGTTTTCCAGGAAAGCACAACAACCAAGGAACTAAGGAGGGACAGTCAGGGGACTGCTGCTGCTGATGCCCTGAGCATTTGTCACCTGAGGCCATTGCTTCTCTCATTCTAATGGAAGAATGGTTCCTGTCTCTTATACATGTGGTGCTAGATACATAGCCAAATGGCGTGCAAGACTGTTTGTGACATGGATATTTCCCCAGGCTGCTGGACCCTTTATAAGATTATGGAATATTCTGGCATATGTACAGTGGTGCCTCGCTTAACGATTGCCTCGTTTAGCGATGAATTCGCATAACGATGTGTTTTTTTAGAAAATAATATGCCCCGTATAACGATGTTTCCTATGGGTTTTTTCGCTTAAGGACGGCAATCCGTGCCTATTGGATCGGATTAACCGGTTTCCAATGCATTCCTATGGAAAATGGGGTTTCGCATAAGGATGTTTCACATAACGTTTTTTTTTTGGAACCAATTAAAATCGTTATGCGCGGCACCACTGTACTTTCAACTATCATGGGGATGTTCCCTGGGGTCATATCTACAAACAATGGCAAAACCCAATCAATAAATCTACCATTTTGATGACCAAAATAACATGTAACAAGGAAAAGTACCAACAATGAGCACAAGCACAGAGAACTATTTGAGGCTAGTTCATTCTCTTCTGAGTTATTTTCCTGCTGCTTTACACAGGGAGCCATCAAAAGCATGATTCTCCTGCTCATGAAGTCTGAAATAATACTTTCCATTCTACTGGCTCCAAATTCTTCTACCTCATTCTCACCTCATTCTGATGTATGTAGAAGACCAGTCACCATCCCAGAGGAAACATTTTTAAAATAACCTTTTTTTGGTGGGAAATTCTGTGATCTCTAAACAAATGCCTTTCCATGTGAATCTGGTTCTGTTTTTTATTGTACAAACCAAGGAATTCAGGAGGAAAAACATCTGGTTCCCAAATGATGTTCTTTTAGGCTGGGCTCTGCAAACCAAGTGGTGGCTAATTCACCTGGAGGCTAATTTTGGGTTTTTGCAGACACTCATATCTGTCCTTTTTCACTGGGTCATGAGTGTGTGAAGAGGATATTGTTTTGGTCACTGTTTCATGCATAAAACTGCAGAAGGGGAGTATATTCTTTGTTAAAGAAATATCTACATAAATTAATAACACAACCAAAAATTGCAATATTTCTGGACATATTTCTATTAGAGCCAGTTTTTTAATTGACTATAGAAAACAAGGACTTTGTCTTACCTGCAGATTTCTCGCTCCATTGGAGCAGCCATTTCAACCTGCAGTCACATGACCAAGGGTTCCCATGAAGGTAAATGTTCTCTAGGAGTGGCATTCTTTGAAAAATTCCCATTGGCAGTGTTCTAATGGCATTTTCAGACAGATAGAGGTGTTTGATTGTTGACAGCCTGAAGTAATCAAGGACCAAAAACGTAGAAAATGTGTGGGGATGAAGCTGTTGGAGTAAGTTTCCTTCCAAGTGGAGAAGTCTGAGGGACGTTAATCCATTAAAAGCATTAGGGTGGATGAATTCAATTTGGTTGTGGTCCATGTGCAGTCTCATGAGGCTGGAAAGCCCTTGTAGAGTCTGGCCTGTTATAACCTGCAGTTTATTGTAGCTTATCTTGAATACCTAAATGAAACAAAAGAGATAATATTTTTAACACTGATGCTACAGGGGGGGAAAATCACAACTAAGTCAGATAACATGACAGAGGAAGAGAGACTACAGTCCCCACCTAGGGAAATACAGCCACACTTTTATCCCATAAAATTCCTGTCACACATACAGATACAGACAGACACACAGACACAGGGTTATGGAATAGCTGGCCAATTTTAAACTGACCAAGGTCAACGAAAGAGAAGGTGAATTAGCATAATGCACCACAATCTAACAAATGCTTCCTGATGCCTAAAATTTAAAAATGACTGCTGTACTGCACTAGAAAAAATATAAAAGACTGATAAATTTATCTCCATATTTAAAGCTACTGTTATATAGAAATAGGACTTCTATGGCATCTTGTAATAAGCTCTGTGCATCTAGTGATACAAGTTGCTTCAACACTAGAGAAAAGGAAAGCCCTTGTAGAGTCTGGCCTGTTATAACCTGCAGTTTATTGTAGCTTATCTTGAATACCTAAATGAAACAAAAGAGATAATATTTTTAACACTGATGCTACAGGGGGGGAAAATCACAACTAAGTCAGATAACATGACATAGGAAGAGAGACTACAGTCCCCGCCTTGGGAAATACAAGCACACTTTTATCCCATAAAATTCCTGTCACACATACAGATATAGACAGACACACAGACACAAACTTTCCACAGGGCTATGGAATAGTTGGCCAGTTTTAAACTGACCAAGGTCAACGAAAGAGAAGGTGAATGAGCATAATGCACCACAATGTAACAAATGCTTCCTGATGCCTAAAAATTAAAAATGGCTGCTGTACTGCACTGGAAAAAATATAAAAGAATGATAAATTTATCTCCATATTTGAAGCTACTGTTATATAGAAATAGGACTTCTGTGGCATCTTGTAATATGCTCTGTGCATCTAGCGATACAAGTTGCTTCAACACCAGGGAAAAGCAGCCTACTTCTGCCCATGTTAGAGACGTTCTTAAGTAGAGACCCCACTTGTACTTCTGCCCATGAGGGAACTGAGAAACTAACTGTAGCTCTTGCTTGAAAACCAAACAAGTACTTTGGCTCTACCTGTAGTGATATCAGATCCTTTAAGGCACCATTTGGTATATTTTGGATGTCATTTCCATGAAGCATGAGCAGTTCTAGCTTTGCAAGTCCTGCAAAAGAGTTTTCAGATATTGTCTGTATACTGTTAAACCTGGAAAGAAAATACATTTAAATATATTCAGTAACAAATCATCACTGAGAAAACCTGGCATTTTAGGCAATATTGATTTGTTCCTAAATCCTGTGCGCAATAGGACAAGTTGATGAAGTGTTTTAACAAGGCCATGTGTCCTCAGCTGGTGTTTTATATGTGGTTCCTAAAGCCAGTTTTATGCTTCTTGGTCATAAATCGTTACAAAATTAAAATAAAATAACTTGAAATAAATGCAGTTCAGCTGAAGTATAAGTTCATGGAAATGTTGCTTAGATCAAGCTCTCCTCTTCACCAAGTGACGGGGCTATTATTCAGTGGCAGAGATCCAAACTATGATGATATGATGACTGGCAAACCATTAAGCTTGCAAGATGCCAACAAAACACTTAACAATAAGTGAATAAAAATTTGGCAGGGCCGTTTAAAAATGGATGTCTGCCAAGCCATTTCTCAGAGCAGAAAGCCGCAGCTACTAACTGAATATCTAGATTTGTACATTAAAGCCAAAAATCTGTTGCTTAGTATAGTAAATTTAACTAGAGTATATGAGATGGTTGGACAGTGTCATTGAAGCAACCAACATGAATTTGACCCAACTCCGGGAGGCAGTGGAAGACAGGAGGGCCTGGCGTGCTCTGGTCCATGGGGTCATGAAGAGTTGGACATGACTAAACAACTAAACAACAACAAATAAGTTCAATTGATTCCAAGGAGCCTACTCTAATTGTGACTTCCTTTTGTATTGTAAGTCGAAGGTAGGATGGGCACATTTGAATTAGAGGACTATACAGAGGACTCACTAAATCCTCATTCATTCAATGGGCCTACTCTACTATAATTTACAAAGCTAAGCAGCAGGATTTTAGCCATAGTATGCCAAACTAGGTATTTAACTGTTCAGCTGAATCAGCAGTTGTAATCTGCAAAATTATAAGATTTGCAATTAGGATTGTGAACTGATTTAACAAATGATTATTTAATTAAATAATTGATTAATTACTTTTCTTTTCACAGATTAATAAAAAAATTAGATCAATCTGTATTTCAAAACATTTCATCACAATTGCCCTATTATTTCTATTGAAGGAAACATCTTGCAATAAGTTAACAAAAGCTACTAATCATTGTTCAAAGACCATTTATATTTGCTATCTTTATCTATCACATGAACACAGCAAAATGGATATACCCCACCACAAGAATCAGTACAGTTTTCCAATGAGACAGGATGCGCTAGTTAAAACAAGAAATAAAATTCTGAAAACAATTGAAGGTATATGTAGCAAATGTACTGTTATATAATCCTGAAGGTGGAGGGTAATATACCACAAATGTGTTGTGTGGAATATATGTGTTATTTATGTTGTAATTTTATTAAATATATTCTTTAAAAGGAAGAAAAATCTATTTATTCATTTATTAAATTTATACCCCTCCCATCTAGATACAAGTCTACTCTGGGTGGCTAATAATTGTGCACTATTAACCTGTTTCAGACTTATGGTGATACATCATACATCTGAAAATCTCAATTAATTAATTGAGGCAAATCTACTACCCTAGTCAGTGGGGAAATCTTTTGACTTAATGTTCTTTTATACTTCTTCCAACATTCCAACATGTTATTTAAAAATAATAGGTTATCCATTTTTTCATCAGTTCTTTTAAAATTTCCTTATGAAACATATTTGTTACACTATCCTTAATCTTATGAAGTTCCAGGTCACTCTATATTAATCCTTTTACCATTTATTATAATTTCTGAGACATGCCTCAATTGCTATATAGTATAATTTAATATCAGGTATACCCAATCTTCCTTTCTTTTCAGGTATATAACATAATTTTTTATTTATTCCTGCCCTTTTATTTATTCCTGCCCTTTTATTTTCATTGCAATATCTATTAACCAAATTCTGCAATTCTTTTAATTTCTTATCCTCTGTCTTCATGGGCAGTGTCCAAAATAAAAAGTTTAATTTAGGGATTGTCTTACTTTTTACTATTTCAGCTCTTCCAAACCATGATATCTTCATTCTATGATAATCTTGAATTTGTTATTTAATTTGTTTCTTCACACTATCTAGATTTGTTTTCATAATTTCTTGCATTTTCCAAGTAATTTTTACTTCCAAATATTTAATACTACCTTTTAGCTTCCTTTCAAATTTTTGCTTCATTTTACTCTTATTATCATTCCCATAATTTATTAACATACATTCTGATTTATTCCAGTTTACCTTTAACCCTGTAACTTCCTCAAATATTTTTAAATGCACTTTAATATTATTTATTGAATCTATTGGATTCTCAATTGTTAACAATGTGTCATCTGCAAATAGATTATCCTTAATTTTGTTGGTGTTCCCTATTCCTTTTATTTTGGTATCCTCTCTAATTGCATTTGCTAATAGTTCTATTACCAAACTAAACACTATAAGTGATAACGGACATCCTTGTCTTGTTCCTCGGCCTAGAGTTATTTTTTCTGTCAATCCATCATTTACTATAATTGCAGCTGTGTTTTCAGAGTATAGTTGCTGTATAGTGTTTCTAAAACATATACCAAACCCTAATTCTTTTATTAATATCTTAAAGTTGACCATCTCACCAGATTGAAGGCCCTAAAATATCCAATGACAGTATACCTGCTTTTATATTTATCTTTTTAGTTACATCTACTGCATCAAGTACTCTTCGCATTCAATCTCCCATTTGTCTACCCTTTATAAAACCATTTTGGTCCTTACCTATATATTTATCAACAAATCCATTCAATCTTTTTTGCTGAAATTGCCATAAAATTTTTTGCATCTTGGTTTATCAAATGAATTGCATTATTAAAGTGACATAATTGGCAAGTGGAGCCAAGCAAAAAACCACACATAGATACTGCTGTTTCTGACTCAGAGCACACTGCATATGCCATAGCAGCTATAGTTGACTTATAATATCTGAGATCACTATCTTTCTTACATTGGTGTCATGTCACATTTATATACACAGCCATATATCAATCCCAAGAGAATAATTCAATGCAGTACAAGTCACTATTTAGAGATTTCTAGTTATGGAGACCCTTGCCAACATTTTCTAGACAGGGAGCACTCAGAAGTGGTTTACCCTTCCTTTCTTCTGGGGACACCCTGGGACTGTGCCCCTTGCCCAAGGCCACATCAGCTGGTTCTTTACTTGGGAGGCATAGTGGGGGAATAGGACTCCTGCTCACAAGCTATATTGGTAGGTGCTCCGACACAGTGATCTATCTGGTCACCTTATACCACTTAATTTTATAAGCAATGGCATATCATTTGCCTTGACACTGGTGAGGATTCATTGGCTAATCATAGGCTGTCACCTGTTAATCAATAATATATTTCAAGGGACTGCTGCAGTGCAACATGAGTGATCTTTTCTTGAAAATGAAAGACTTAAAGAGCCACAGGAGATAGGCCTAAAGCAAAATGGAAAAAAAGCAAATGTGATGGACTTCCACCCCTGGCTGGTTTTATTGGTCACACATTCATTGAAGGCAAGATAGTACTGCATGTTCCAATGACATGTCTCAATCTCACCACAGAAGTGTTAATTAGAAGTAATCAGATAATAGTTCAGATCTATTCCATTCATTTCCTCTTTTATAAAAGGCTTTCAATCCACAGGAATGGTGTCAAATTTCAGCTCTGTTGTATAGTGCTATGACTAAACAGCATATGGGGGTGAACCTAATTACACTCAAAGAATGTTAAATGCTACAATAAAATTGAAATACATACCCTAGATTAATTCGTTCCACATGTTTAGAAATTTTTGTTGGAACTGCTGTTAAGGACCGAAATGTGCAGTGAACTTCAGTGGGAACATAGCAGGCACACGGGTGAGGACATGCAACTGTGATTCCAGGAAGGCCCAGACAAAGAATCAGCACCACGGATAGTGCCCCCAAATGTGGTTGCTTCAGCATCATCTCGGATTTCTTCATTTCTTTATACCTGTTTCATTCACAAAAAAGAACGGATTTAATTTTTAAACAGGCATAAAATAAAATAATGCATATACAGTATGTTTCAAAGCCTTCAATATACACGTGCATTCAGCAGCTGTTTTCAAATTGGATGTTATATATAAGAAAAGTAGGCTAAAAATAGGCACTCAGTTTTGAACATTGAGTTGAATGTATCTACTAGCACAGCCATCATCTTCCTATATGGCTCAGCTAGGAGATATGCAGGTCTTAAGATCAAACGGTAAATATGTCTGTAATCATCCAAATGAATATTAATTATTATATTGCAAGTTGCAATATATTAGCAATTATCTTTAATTTTACATAAGCAGAGCAGTACAGCCTGTACCTAAAGATGTATGTATCGAAGCACGCAGGCTTTTTTTGGAAAGTTTCTCTTGGAATCTTGAAACCAGGTCAAACAAAATACACAGGAAACCGCATCAAGCTCTTGGACCAAATTGTTCAGTACAGTGGACCCTCTACTTAAGGAATTAATCCGTATTGGAATGGTGGCTGCAAGTTGAAAAGTCTGTAAGTCGAATCTCCATTGACCTACAATGCACTGAAAACTGATTAATCTCATAACCAGTGGTTTTCATTCTATTTTTATTCCATTTTGGTTTTTTTCTGGTCTGTAAGTCGATTCTCTGGCTGCAAGTCGAATCTAAATTTTGCAGCCAGAGAAGTCTGTAACTCGAAAAGTCTGTAAGTCGAGACATCTGTAAGTCGAGGGTCCACTGTATTATTGATTCAGAATGGCAGGTGCCTTCCACTGAGTGACGCATGAGAGTTTTTCATTAGCCCTAGCTACATGTGCCAGGAGCTGAACCTGCATGCAATCCATGTTCTGCGCCATTAAGCTTTTCCCCCTTCCCAATGGAATGTAGAGGTCAGTGTGTTTCGGTATCCTGATAATAGGCATCAACAAAACACACTGATGTAAGGGAGGGAATCAAAGGCTCAATGCACAATCACACTTGGGTCCAGCTGCACAATTTATTGAGCCTTTCAATGGTTGGATCCCTTTCACATGAGCATCAAAGGAAAGCTGCAGTAGTGCCATCTGGCTCTGCCACTTCAAACATACCATCCCACAGCATAGAAAACAGCATCCGTAAATCTTATAGATAGAAGTATGGAGCAAGGAGTGAAGAGGAAGAATTATAATTATATTTCGCAGTTAATGCACACTCTGTTAACTAAGGCTACCCATTAAATAAATGAAAATCAGGCCTAAAACTCTAGATCCCATGAACAGATTTTAGCTGCAGGATTGTCAGCTGCAAGTTGCACAGCCACAACTGAAGTCTGACTGTGCATTTGGGTCACTCGTGTCTTTCATCAGTTGTGGTGGCAGATGCACATAAATAGGAAACAACATGTCAGTCGGTGGAAGAGGAAGGCACATAAGAAAAAAGGATCCTCATAGGCAAGACACCACCCTGAATTTCCTTGGATCAGCTCATATGAATCTGGCTCAAACAATAAGCAAATAGCTCCTCTGATTCTGACTTTCCTTGGATCAGCTCATATGAATCTGGCGTATTGCTCAAACAATAAGCAAATAGCTCCTCCTATTCTGACCCCGTCTATATTAAAACAGGCCTGTGAGCTTATCAGAGCCTTGCCACTTGCTAGTTACCTGTCTCCTGTCTCAGGCTATAAGCTTATCCACAGGCACTCAGTGTCAAACAAAACTTCAGCTGGAAAGTATCATCTCTATTATAAAGTCATTTCCCTGCCCTGGCAGGTTTCCCTCAGAGAAGTTTCTGCAATCGGATTTTCAATTTAAGTCTTCAAAAACCAGTCACAAAACAAGGCATACTAAATGCATGATCTTTAAATAAGGAATGTGTTATGACAGACATTTTTTACCACTTCTACAGCATCTCTTCTAAAAACATGCTATACATACTGTACCCTCTAATTCAACAATCACACCACGGTGATGTGTTCCCCAAAGAATAAAAACCAAAAAGCGTGCTGCTTATATGGGTGGTTTACAAGTTAATTATGCAGGCTACACATTGCCCCCCCAGCGAGCTGGGTACTCATTTTACCAACCTCGGAAGGATAGAAGGCTGAGTCAACCTTGAGCCGGCTACTGGGGATTGAACCCCAGGTTGTGAGCACAGTTTTGGCTGCAGTACAGCGGTTTAACCACTGTGCCACGAGGCAGATAGATCATCTTATTCTGAAGCAACCTGTATTAAATCAGGTCCTGTCCCAGTGAGTCTACCAGTTCCATCACAGTCACCATTTAGCCCTGCCCCAAGCTCAGTCACCAGTTAATTGGGCTATGCCAATTATTTTGCACATTCTACACCAGCTCTTCCTGATTGCTGCCCAGTCTTTTCTCCTATCCCCTATTTTCCTGTTTCACTTAATTCTTTCTCCTTATCCTGCTGTGCCATTCATAAAGTGATTTACTTCCTCCCATGAACACCTTTGCATGGCAAGAAATGAGATGTGCAGTGACAGAGAGGAAGTCCATATCACCTTGGCTCAAGTGCTGTGGCAACTAGATACATCACACCCTTATATTAGTGCTAAGTTCCTTATAAGCCACTTCCTCAGCACAGTGGGTTACGGCACTGAGCCATGAGCCTTCACATAGCTGTTTCTTTGTGTATGCATCCATATTCCTCAATCTGCAAGCACTAGGTTTGTGACTTATTTCCTATCAAGGTCATATGCAAACTATTATACAGTAATTCAAAGTAATGGTTCTTTATGGGTGTATGTGGAAGTTGATTCTCAAATGTCTGTCGTCAGGCTAATATAACAGTTGCCCCCTCTCACAGGAAAAAAAAAACCTCTGAGAACTTTGAACTTAATGAGGTGATCCTTTAATAAATGTTGTCACATTTAAATATTGAACATATTTTCTTTCTTTAGAGGAGTAACAAATATCCATTCCTTTTCCTATAAATCCTGCTTAGAGCCAAACAGAGGTTATAACATCAAAAAAACTGTTCCTGTTTTAATTCCCAGGCTCAGACTAAGTGGTTCTCTCTATATTCTTCCTTTTAAAAAGAAAAAAAGAATGACAAACAATAAATAAAGATGTGCGTATGTACAGCAGTGGAAAATGTTTTATATCCGCATTATCTTCCATCTCTATCAATATCTGGCACAACAACAACAACAACAAAATACCAACTAGGAAATACTAGCTGTTTAAAGATTTGTAGGATCTCATTCCATAGAAAGTAATGGTGTTTGACTCTGAGGCAGTATTTTATCCATTTGTAATTCAGCTGGAGAACCTTTTTGTGATCCTATCTGGACTCATCAATGTATGTGCACTTACATCTATATTGACGATGCATTTCAAAGGTGACTGTAGTCAAAATGGCTAAATCATGTATTAGTACTTAGTTCATTTATGCCCAGCCTTTCCTCCAAAGAGCTCACAGTGGTATACTGAGCATTCCACCTCCACACTGCTGTCTCACAACAACCCTGTGGGACAGATCAGTTTGAAAGAGAATGACTGTACCAGGATCACTCAGGCTTCCATGGGCACGTGAACCCAGAACGCCCAAGTCCAGCATTCCAAAGACTATAACATATCAACTAAGTCACCGTGAGCTATGGGTATTTTTGTTTTGAAGTTGTGGCCATGTATTCATATTCTTTCAATGGCACTATGTTATTTGTTTACCAGGATCACTCAGGCTTCCATGGGCACTTGAACCCAGAACTCCCAAGTCCAGCATTCAACTAAGTCACAGTGAGCTATGGGTATTTTTGTTTCGAAGTTGTGGCCATGTATTCATATCCTTTCAATGGCACTATGTTACTTGTCCATGCTTTTTAAAAGATGTGTAACCAAGGCAGGGAGAAATCATTGAGGCATATCTTCCTGGAACACAAATGAAGGATTAACCTGTCTAGAGCTGATGAACTGAAATGAGTTGTGGTTGAATTAAGGTTAACTGAAAATAGAAAATTCCAGGAAGGTAGCCACGTCAGTCTGTTAGTCTAGTGCAGTGAAAATAAGGTATCTTGCAGCTTCTTAAAGAACAAGTTTCATCTAGCATGATCTTTTGTGGGTTACAGTTCATATACTCTCTCTTTTACCATTATTGTATAAAATGTTTATCTGTTGAGGCTACACCCTATGCATCTGAAGAAGTGGCTTATAGTCTACAAAAGCTTATTCCCAATAAAACTTCATGATCTTTGAGATGCTGCAAGACTCTTTATTGTCTCTGACTGTAGATAAGTTATCTATCTGATCTGTAAGTGTCTGCAGTTCACAGTTGCATCATTTGGGGCATAGTAATTACATCTAGTTAAAGAGTTGTGATAACTTTGTATAAAATAATGAAGATGTAGGCTAAATTCTGATAAATAAGCCTTGGAAAGCATGTTTTTTTCTGTGTTATGATGCTTAATAACCTGGACAGGCATTACATGGGACAGCACCATTTTTTTCACACACAGACCACATGCACCATTTACTGATGGGCAGTTGCAGTCATGACTGATCAAATTATGTTGATCCCTAGGACCTCCTTTTGCCCTGGAGAAGAAGTTGGAAGCCTCAGGACAGGGGGAGGGACCTCGAAAAGTCCAAATTTGCCACTGGGTCACCACTGCTAGGATTGGTGAAAGAACTGAGAGCAACTGGCAACCAATAGTGATCTAACTAGAAAGTTTGTAGAAACTTAGCCTCTACGATGGATACAAACTATCAGTGAGACCACCGAATACTGCTAGCAATTTTGCTATCTTCATAAGGTTCTTGTGGCTTCTGCTGCTACATATACACCACATGTAACAACCAAAGATACACTTCCTTGGTTTTTCCTAGAATTTAATAGAGATGACCAACAGTCAATGAGCCAAGAACCTTTCTGGATCTGCAGTTTGATGATCAGCAGGTGTACGTCCCATCAATGGAAGAAGGGAGTTTCAGCAATGTAGTTTGTCTCTTCCCTCTGTACACTCTTTTAAAGGTACAAGAGCTCTTTCTCTTATTGCCAGCCTAGCTGCAGAGAGAAGAAAGCCAAGGCACATGTCATGACCATCAAGATCTAATAATCTGGGCTTGGTGGACAGGGCATTAGAATGCAAGGGCCATGTAGTGAGTTTACAAACAGCGGGCTGCAAGATGACATACCTACTGATCAGATATACAACAGAAGCATATTCTTGCAGTCATAAGGAAGCAAGGGGCAAGCTGTTAACAAAATACAACGAGAAAACATGGATAAAGTGAATATCCCAATAGCTATCATAGCAAGATAGGAGGTTTGCCCTCATAGATGGTGCAGTGACTCCAAGGCGATTTAGAATTCAGCCTCTTGGTCAATGCAGGACATCCAGAGCTACAATATCCCTAACAGATGACTGTCCAGGAAGACCTCTCATGATGGGTTCCATAGTGAACCCAATCTTCCATCAATATATGTATTTCTCTTAATGTTCACCAAAATATTCTCTCTTTTAACCAGTAGTAGCTATTCAGTGAGCAGGGTGGGTGGGAGCTTGTTGTTGGATGGGGCATTGGCTCTGCTTAGATCACAGGCCACCTGTAACTGAAATCTATTACATTTAGAGCTTTCCTCCAGGGAAGCAGAAGATACCTCTTGTCTTTCTTCAAAACTACAACACTTTGGGCAAGGAGCCAAACAAAACACACACCAAACAATACATGCAGATTTTATTTTGGTGTTCTTGCATGAATATGCAATTTAGCATTTGTCGCTTTCAACTTCCATTTTGCTAGTTCCAGTCCAGTTTCCCATTTTGTTAAACTAATTTTGGATTCCTGCAGTCTGAGGTGTGAGTTCTCCCTGCCATTTCTGTGCCTTCTATGTACCTGAAAAGGGTTTCCGCCATACCTTCATTTAATTCAGGGGCAAGGAACCTTTAGCCCTCCAGATGTTTCCACCTACAGCAAGAATAACCAATGATAAAGTATTGTGGCAACCATAGTCTACAACATCTGGAACTCCTGACCTAAATCACTCACAACAACCTTGAAGAATTGCAGAGATATGATAGAGCACTCTTGCTTCCCACTTAAAACATCTCTCCACTTTGATGAAGAACTATTGGTGAGTATATTGTTCTACATGATTTACAACAAGCTGTGTGTCTGCTTGGCAGCACTGAGCCCACATTTGACCAGTTTATGTAAACATCACTTTAGCACTTTCAGTTTTTTCTGGCCCATTGGTGGGGAAGACACCCAAAATCAAAGGTAAAGGATTAGGCAATCAACTAGCATTATAGAAGCAGCATGGCATGCCTGGATACAGTCTTTAACTTGGCTTGGACAGACCTAAATTCAAAATCTTGCCCAGTCAGGTGAGCCATCACACTCTCTTAAACGAGCCTGTCTTGCAGGACTGTTGTGTTAATAAAATAAGATGCAGAGAAAATCTTGCCCAGTCAGGTGAGCCATCACCCTCTCTTGCAGGACTGCTGTGTTAATAAAATAAGATGCAGAGATGAAGGTGTGCCATTCCGAGCTCCTTAGAGGTGGGATAATGTCTAAACGTATTAAAGAAATAAAATAACTGAAGTGTTCTCACAAATAAAGAAATAAAATAACTGAAGTGTTCTCATAAGCTCTCTGTTTTGAAGAGCACACTGTGGTGATCTTTATGTAGGCAGGATTGGTGGGAACCAGGTGAGGTTAAGGTTTGCCTAAATGGTCTTCTGGTCTTCTCCAAGCCCATAACTCTACAAAGCTGGCCAAGCAATAAACAAGAAGCACCAAACATCCAATATATCGAACAATGTGTACACACACACACACACACAGAGAGAGAATACAATATTCTATTCTACTACCCATGTTCTCTTATTTGAAAGCCCATGAGGACACAGGTGATGCCCATGACATCATAGTGTGGCAACAAAGGGGAAGAAGAAAAGGAGTTGGCATGCAAGTGTTACACACCATCAGAGCACTGAGGTTCCTGGAAGGTAGGATCGCAGACAAAATGGTAAGACAGAGCAGCTGCCAAGATGAAAGAAAGAGAACATCATAAGCACCCAATATTCATTGAGACAACTCTGCTTTCTGTAAAGCTATCCAGTTCTGAGAAGTTGAATGGGTTCAGAAGAAGAGTAATCACACAATTAAAAAGACTTCTGTTATTATAGATGGCTTCAACTAGTTCTAATGAAGTTCACCTTGCCCCATTCTTTTCCAGTTGTGGATCACTGCCCCCTAGGGAATGTTCAGAGTTATTGCCTAGAAGAGCAGTCAGGGATAGAAGGAGTATGAAAGAATGCTCTTTTTCCTGTACAGTATGTCTGTTTTTACACATGTGTGTGTTGTATGATATACGACTGTGATGGTCAAAAGGCGGCATTAAGGGACTGTAACTCTGGCTGAGAAACTGGACTGAATGAAATCAAAAGGAATTATTAACTTGGGTCAAATACGGGACCTCCTGTTGTCAATCTCCCCTCCTCTGGAGACTATTTCATCACATGGCAGCATCTTGCGGGGGTGGGTGGGCAGTGGGATCGGATCCAGGGACTACCCCCCACGGTGGCCTCAGGTTTCCTGACCAAGGCGGGAGAGAGACAGACAGAGTAGGTGGTGAGGAAAAGAATGAAGGCTGATGATTCCACCAGCCTCACTTAGGGCAGCAGAAGGATGTAACTGAGGTAGGTGTTAGTAAGAGGCAGAAGAAATGGTTGTAAGAAAGAAAGAAAGAAAGAAAGAAAGAAAGAAAGAAAGAAAGAAAGAAAGAAAGAAAGAAAGAAAGAGTCCTCAGAACTGTCTGCCTTCCATTCGCATCTTAACTTTGAAGTGCACATGCTTCACATTAGAGAAAAAATGCCCCTTAATTCACTGAGTCACTCACTGGAGAGCAAGCAAGAGAGAGTTGAGCTCTTCACCTTTTCTCCTTAAGTTCCCAGTCAACCTTTCTTTCTGACTTCTCAAAAAAACAACAAAAGCGCCTGAGGGGGCTGTGGTCGAAGGAGCGAAACCAACCCCCAGAAAACTTTCCGCTTCTCCTTGGCTGCAGCGAGGAAAAATAATTTACAAGCCCTCCGGCTTCTGCAAATCATGTCCCCCTCTTTTCCAGGAATAGGTGACACGTGTTAAAAACGACGCACGCAAAAAACCGCCTAGACTCCAGGGAATTTCTCATCCACACTACAGTCCATGGAGTTTTGGAAGTTAAGAAGCCCAACCATACCATGCAAGAGAGAAAACCGGACGTACTACCTACTGTTTTGGCAAAGGGGCCGGGCCACCTTTCCCCGCTGAGTCCATCCTCTCTCGGCCACGGGAAGCCCGGTTAGTGTCCTATGCAGACCACTCGCCCCCGTCTGCGCCTTATCCCCCAGACCCCACCGCGGGCTCCTGGGTCGCTTCTTTCTTGGATCCGCCCGCAGGCACCCGCGCAAGTTGCGCGCCTTCACCTCCCAGCCCAAAGGTGTCCGGCTGGAGCCAAGCATGCAATTCTTCCTTCCTGGTTACTTCTGCAACACTCGGTTTCGAAATTCATCACTCCAGGGGCAGGCGGGGGACGAGAGAACTCCGAAGGGTGTGGGAAGTGGGGAGGGGAGAAAAGGGGGGGGGAAGCTGGAAATTAAAAAAAACAAAACAAAACCAAGAATGTAGCTGATGCTTTTCTTTTTTCCTCCACACCCGCTTAAGAAGAAAATCCAGGATTTCTTGATTGTTAAAATGAAAAGCCCGGTGGAAACTGAAGAAAGACAGGGTCAGACCATCTCTCTCTCTCTGTCCTCCTTAGAAACTCAGGGAGAGAGGAGGAAAGAGCGAGGTTTCCGCTATTCTGCGGAGGCGTTCCGGCAGCCCAGATCAAACTTCAGCAACTGGACCCCCAAACTCAGCAAATCCTGCCCCAGGACGCGCAAGACGGGGAGGTGCAAGCGGGTGCCCCGCGCAAGGCATGTCCTCCTCTCGCCTTTCTTGCCTGGTGTGTTTTGAAGCAGGCGGGCGCAGGGGATCGCCTTTCTTTGTGGGCGGCTCTTGGAGAGAAAGGGAGAGGGGAGCTTGTGGGGACGGAGCTTGGAAAGAACACCGAGGGGTGGGTGGGTTTCGAACTGAGACGCGATCTTCTTCAGATCCCACAAGCCGGGCATCTCTTGCACGCCAAGACGTTCCCCTCTGCAAGCGCACGGCGATGCTCCTTATTTTCTGCCTCCTGGTCTCTTCCCCCCGCCCCCGGGGGATTCGTCTAGGCACCTGGATCTCGGGTTCTCTTCAGAACGGTCCCTGAACAGGCCGATGGAAAGCAACGGGTGTGTGGCGTGGTATACGCTCAGCACCTTTTGTTTGGTAAACGAGGGGGATTCACACGTGTGGTGCCAATGCACGGGGACGAACGGACAGAGGTGCTAAGGATCGAATGTTGCATGCGATCCACAATCTTCTGCCTCCCGCATGTGAGCTTTACGTTGTGGAATGCCACCGTCAAATGCCAGCCATTATCTACCCATTTACAGTCACCATGAATAAAGGAGAAGCGGGAGGGGGGCGGGCGGGCAGCGGACTGGAGCAAGTCTCTGTCTGGGGTGACTGATGTTTGCAAAGAACACCTGAACAAGGGCTTGTATTAGTCCCGGCGTAGGGGCAAGAACGTAAGCATCCAAGAACGCCTCAACCAGGGCCTGAGCTGCCACTAGGCGAACTAGGAGACCACCTAGAGCGCAGACCTGAGAGCTGAGAAGGTCACAGAACTGACCTGAGAGAGGCACAGTTTTATACAGTTTGTATAAAATTGGTTGTAGTTAGTCTTGCCTACGGCACAAAAAAGTCTGGCACCGGCCCTGGCCTCAACCCACCATATCTGCTAGAAGAAACACCCTGTCTTGTGTATGTTGGAAGCTAAGCAGGGTCAGGCCTGGTTAGCATTTGGATGGGAGGCCACAATGGCGTACCATGAGCTGTATTGGGGAGGGACCATAGCTCAATAGTAGAGTGCATGCTTTTCGGCAGAAAGTGGCTAGTTCAGCCCCCAGCATCTCCATGAATAGGTAGGAAAGAATCCTGCTGGAAATTCTGGAGAGCTGTTGCCAATCATAGAGGTCAACACTGGGCTCATTCAAGTCTATTGCACTGCTGGTAACAGCTCCTACACAGCTGTGAATGAGTCTTAAAGGAGACTGATGTTGTGTGGTGTCATACTTGGCTCTCCAATGGAGAATGTAGTATGGAGCTTCAATCCCACAGCTGAATGGTCATTCCCATTGATTCCTGGGCAAGTATGAACAAACTCTTTCCATCATCAGAACAATCCCTAGTGCTTCTTTCAGACTCGTCACAGACTCACAATGTAATCTTTATCTTCCCCTTTTATAACTGGTGGTTATTAGTTCAGGTCTAATAACATATTATGTGATTAGGATTAGCCATTCAAGATGGAAGATTTGTTTTCATATAAGCATGTTTTCAAAGTGTTGTACTGCCTGGCTTTATGTACTTATTTGTTCACTGGCCTCATAAAATGTTAATTATTTAAATATGTGCCTATTAATACTCAATTATGGCATGCCTGTTTTCATAACGTTTCAATTTGAAAGTAGAAATTTGTGGGTTCAATTAAATGGCAGAATGCTTTTCTGAAAATTAATCTGAAGAGATGTCAAGATTATGACGGGTCAGAGAGTCTCGTACTAGCCACACTGCACAGATTTTTCTGGTATGGGTAACCTCCAGGAGGACAAAATATACTGATAGCTGGAGAAAATCTTTCTTCCTGGAATCCTCCAACACCCAAAGTCATTCTGGCTAAGCAGTGCTCCGTGGAGTTACCAAAAATCCCCAAGGCTAAGTGTTTGGAGTCTTGTATCAGCCCTGTAAGGTAGAAATACTAAAAACACCCACAAAATGCACAGGCCATTGAGGCAAAGTCTGGTTTTAACCCTCTCAATCCAAAATAGCCAAACATCTGTAAAATGTTATTCTGTCTATCTATCTATCTATCTATCTATCTATCTATCTATCTATCTATCTATCTATCTATCTATCTATCTATCTATCTATCTATCTATCTATCTATCTATCTATCTATCCATCCATCCATCCATCCATCCATCCATCCATCCATCCATCCATCCATCCATCCATCCATCCATCCATCCATCCATCCATCCATCCATCCAGTATATATAAAGGTGGTGAAAATGTAAAAAACCAACAAAACAAACCCACAGTTGCAGAAATTTAAAGAAATAATCAAAACACTGTGGAGCAAATAAGCATTTAAAAAGGTTGTGCCCAAGAAATAAATTTGTGCTCATTTTGTAACCAGGAAATAAATTGTCTCTTTTGGGGGGGCATGTATAAATATTTGCCATGTAGTCCCATTCTTACATCTGAGGAAGTTTATGTCAAAATATAGCATATAGTCCTTAAGGTGCCACAACATTTTTATATTCTTAATTTCTTAAATGTTTCTTTTGTTTATGTCCTGATATCAAAAAGCTTGGAGGCAACAATTCTAGAACAATCTCATAAGCAAACAAGAAAGGTAGCTATCCTAAGCTAATACTCACATTCTGACAGAATGTAAGCTTATTTCAAGAGGATATGCAGAGTACAAGTCAGGCAGCAGATGAGCATAGTATTTTCCTAAGAGATAACTAGGCTCAACTAAGTAACTTCTCTCTCGTTTTTATATCCAACATTCCAGTTTCTAGATTCTTTGCAAAAATCTGGCAGTCAGCTGCTGAATTGTTCAGAACCTTCAGAAAGACAGAGTAACTTCTCCCTCCTCCCTTCACGTCAGCTAATCCTTACTAATTAGTTCTGTACCAAGGAGCAAGCTCTGGCCATGGAGTTTCCATTCTCACAGAGATAAGGCACAGGTGTTATGGCCTTCCAATTAACAGTGGACATTTTTTCCTTCTTCTCCTGGTCACCTTGTCCCAGGCACAAATCATGAGGCCATTGTTTCAAAACGGCAACTGAAATCCTGATTCCCCATTTTCCAGATTCTTGCCAGGAGGCAGCTCTGTTTCCATTTTGTTTTTCTTGTTCAGTAACATGTATACTTTAAATGGGCTGCAAAACAGGAAAACAGAACCTTTCATTTCAACTTACAGAGGGGGACTGAGGGTGTAACTAGACAGTGACATTATTGTGGGCTGGATTGTGTTAAACAGGGTTGACATTCAGAAATATAATTGCATCCACATGTAAGGGTCAAGTCATTTCAGAACAGGAAGTCACGGTGCTCCAGTGCACTTTGTTTTGTGGTTACAAATTAGCCAATTTGTCTTTCTCAGCCTTCATGTTGCCCCTCCTCTCTTCTCTCTGCTTCCATGGGAAGTGAGGGAAAGGTGGATATTTTTCCACTTAATTGGTAAGTGACATATCATTGCATCAGTTTGCCACCAAAGCAAACTGCACTGGTTTGTAAAGTGGGGGGGAAATCACCCTCTGAATCTTCTCCTGTCACTCCTTCTGCTGGGAGAAGTAGAAAATTTGTGTTACCTATTTCTCGGTAATGATATATCATTTCATTGGCTTGTCATCCAAGTAGCACTGAATTGTTGGGGGAAACCCTTACAGGTGTCACTTTAGTAAAGTTATCAATGATCACAAATCCTGGAAACCAAACTAAAACAGAGTGATTCTAACAATGCTTTTTTAAAAGCTTCTGACAGGGTCTCAAAATGGTGTGAGTAGGCATGGATAAGGGTTGGGCTGGTTTGGAATTCTGCACATGCATCATGTAGTCACCAGAAAATGGAGCAAACCAGCTCATTCCTGAAGTGGTTTATGAGATAAAGCACTGTCTGATTGCACCCTGAGAAGGTGCAAAAAAGCGAAATGTGCTGCTTATATAACACCCCATAGTGCTTAAAGCACTCGCTGGGCAGTTTACAGGTTAATTATGCAGGCTACACATTCACATTGCCCCTCCAGCGAGCTGGGTACTCATTTTACCAACCTTGGAACAACTCCAGTATATGCTTTAAATTCAGAAAGTTTGAGGTCCAATCCCAAATTAAGAACATAGGAAATTGCCTTGTACTGTACCAGATCCTTTGGCCAGCTAAGGCCGTTATTGTAACCTATCTCTTCCAAGCAACTCTGTCAGAGTTTGAGACAGGATTCCTTTCTCTTAATGCTAGGCAGTGAAGCTGGGACTGATGGTATGTAAAATTGAGCTATACTTCATATGGCATTTGCAGGTGATGCTGTGGTCCCTCATGTCTTCCAAAAGCAAAAAGTAGCTGCCAAGTGGGGTAGCCAGTACTGCACTGATGAATCAATGGTCTAACTGAGAATGAAGCCAGTTCTGATTCTCTCCCTGTAGAGCATGCAGAGATACTTGCCCTGTGTTTGGATGTTACACCATTGGGTATTTCTGTTTCCCATCATTGGTTGGGGTTGGTGGAGAGATAGGGAAACACACAGCTGGCTGATTGAAAAAGCAGGGGATATGCCT